ATAGCATACTCAATGAAATATAATTAAAAAATAAACTGAAAATGGAATAAAGACTTAAATGTAAGATTCAAAACCATAGAACTCTTAGAAGAAAACATAGGCAGTCAAATCTTGAACATTTCTCTTAGTAATATTTTTTTCTGATATATCTCCTCAGGCAAGGGAAACAAAAGAAAAAATAAGCAAATGGGACTACATCAGGCTAAAAAGCTTTTTCACAGCAAAGGAAACCATCAACAAAATGAAAAGACACCCCACTGACACCCCACCCCAAAGACAAATGTGGGAAGAACACATTTGTCAATGATATGCCTGATAAGGGGTTAATATCCAAAATTTATGAAGAATTCATGCAACTCATCGCCAAAACCAAACAAACCAACAATCCAATTTAAAAAATGGGCAGAAGACCTGAATAGATATTTCTCCAAAAAGTATATGAAAAAGATGCTCAACATCACTAATCATTAGAAAAATGCAAATTAAAACCACAATGAGATATTACCTCACACCTGACAGAATGGCTATCATCAATAAATCAACAAATAACTGTTGGCAATAATGTGAAGAAAAGGGAACACTTTGTACTATTGGTAGAAATGTAGATAGGTGCAGCCACTGTGGAAAATAGTAGGGAAGATCCTCAAAAAGTTAAAATGGAACTTCTTATGACTCAGTGATTCCACTTCTGCATATATATCTGAAAACAAAAACCAAAACAATAATTTGAAAGAATTATTGCATATGAAAGAATATATGCACCATATGTTCATTGCAGCATTATTCCCAATAGCCAAACTATAGAAGCAACCAAGTGGCCATCAATAGGTGAGTGGGTAATAAAGCTGTGGAACATACATAGAGTGGAATATTACTTGGTCACGAAAAAGAACAAAATCTTACCATTTGTGAAAGCATGGATAGACCAGGAGATATTATGCTAAGTGAAAGAAGTCAATCAGAGGAACACAAACACCATATGATTTCATTTATATTTGGAATCTAAAGATCAATATAAACAAACAAACAAAACAGAAGCAGACTCAGAGAACAGACTGATAATTCCTAGAGGAGAGGAGGCACAGGGGGCTGAGTGAAAAAGGTAAAGGGACTGAGAAGTACAAATTAGTAGTTACAAAAGTCATGGGATGAGAAGTACAGCAGAGAATGTAGTCAATGATATTGTAATACATTCATATGGCACCAGGTGGGTGCTGGAAATATCAGGTCCTGGAACATTCTGTAAAGTAAATGATTTTCTAACCATGATGCTACATACCTGAAACTAATACAAAATAATAGTGAATATAAACTGTATTGAAAAATACAGTTTGAATTGAATACTGTATTGAATATAATAGAATATAAACTGTATTGAAAAATAAAAAAAATATATGTAAGAGTTCCTTGTAAAGAGTTGTATCATGTTATCAGCTAACCTCACTATGTGTTTGTTTCCCACGCAGTAATCAGGGAAGAGGGGAGGAGGAAGTGGGACATCTACAGCTATTATACAATTTGGCTTACAGATCATGTTCTAACATGTCTCAAGTCAACAGATTTGGGTCACTCATGAAGATACCTACGCACATATTAGAAAATTAGAAATAAAACCAGGAACTGAGGTATGCATTGCTACATTCCTGAAACTGAAACAGACCAATACTTGTTCACTGTTTCCATCTGAAGACAGCAGCAGAACAATTTCCACTACTCTAGAGTCAGAATTCACATTATTACCCAATAAGTTATTCAATGAGTAATGGAATGGCATTTTGAACAAACAAGTAAAAACAGTTGGGTACATAAAATGAAGACTGCTTTTCTAGGCAATTGAATATTTTCTGGATTACTCTGATACTGTATCCACTGAAAAGAAAAATGTAATAGCACACAAATGAATTCAAAAACATCTGATTAGATCAAGAAGGATAGTTGAAAATGACCAACTCTAAAACTCTGTTTCACATTAAAATTACCAAGTTGTTAAGCCTCTCCAAGAACTTGAATGAAATACGGAAATAAGGCCTGATACTCATAAGCCCAGAAGGAGTGACCAACAAATGCCTTACTCTAACAGATGGTTTCTTTATCAGGAAAAGTCACAAATTGTTTAAAACTGGGAGGACCTTCGAGATCTACAAGACTCCCAACTTTGCTCTCTGCCCTCAGGGAAAACACAGTCCAATGGAAGAGGCAAGACAAATCCACACGAAATATTAACTGCAACCTTTCCCTTTCTTGTTACCTGAACAATGAATGAATTACAGGCAGAAATATAGGAATTCGGACCAACAGATCAACATGTAGGCTGCACCACCCCAGAAGGCTATCGGTCTCAGGTATCGGGAAACTACTAATACATATCTTGATTTCCTAATAAATCTGAAGAAATGCTGAGTGAAACATTTTCTCCACGTGTGGAGAAAACATGTAAGAACTTCAAACTTACAGTGAGGTTGCTGATTTGGTTTAGGTACATTAACTCAGTGCTCATAATCCTTAAGTGGCCCTATGTAGAGGCCTCTGGGAAAAAGAGAACTGGACCCTGATTGCTGAACAAAAATCAGAGTTAAGATAGGTTGAATCGTGAAACAATGAGAACGGTGAAGAGTTGGGGCCGGTGTAGAGGGGGAAAGGTGGGTGGGGTTCTTAGTCAAAAATACCTTTATCAGGACCAGAGGAGTCTTCCTGCATGCTGCAAACAGAAAGCAGGGCCTGAGCCCAGGGACTTGAGCCATTTTGCCCAACCAAAATAAAAAAGACAGGGGACATAGCAGGCCAGCCTCACTTAATAAGATTCTGAGAGTTAAAGGCAGGGGTGGGCAGGTAAGCACCTGCTTCAGGGTAGAATCAGAAGGGAATAGTCCTCAGAAGGCAGATCACAAACCGGAGTGTAAGGGAGTTCTTATGGACCTGCCTGCATTTGTTAGCGAGTCTTCCACCATTGGACCATGCTCTGGAGGTGAATACCCCCAGGCCAGCCTTTCTGCTTCCCCTAGGGAGGGACATTACAGGTCTTAGCAACAAAACTTCGCATCTGTCTAAGAAACATACCTTCAGCGTTTGGCAAGCGAGGTCACCAAGGCAGTTCTAAGGACACAAGAGTTGAAGCTCTGGGAGCCTTCAGTCACTGTGTATCTCCGTTACAATGCTTACAATTCCCAATTATTCTAGGCTCGGTCTAGATCAACCAGGTATATTTCGGGGTGTAGGTTTGGGCAGGGTTGCCCTGCAGCACAACCCATCCATGGCAAGGAGGGAGGGAGGCGCATCTAACCGTGTATTGGGCTTTTCCTGGATGAAGGCAAACTGTTGGGATCATCGCAATGACTCAAATTCAAGTTTACTACAGTGCCCAAGTTCATTCATTCATTCACCGATTCATGGAGTCAGCATGTCACAGAAGAATGGTTCAGAATGCAAGTTCTGGAGCCAAATGCTCAGGATAGATTTCTGACTTTATTTATTACTAACATTGTACTTTCTTCATCTGTCAAAAGCAGTCAGTTATAATACCTACTTCACAAGGTTGCAGTGAGTAGTGAAAGACCAAATTCACATAAAGAACCTAGAATAGTGCCTGGCACTGATAAGCACTCACTAAATTTTAGCTGTTATTACTCATTCATTCAGAAGGTTATAATGAATGCTGATAATGTGTCAAATACTATATGAGGTCTTCATTATCTTTCTGTTCATTTTCCTATTCTTTAACTTAAGCCCCTATCTCAGTCATCAGCCAGGAATGTGGGAGTCATCTTCAACTCCTCCCTCTCTGTCCCTCACCACCGCCACCCACTTCTAAAAGGGCCAGGTTTCACCTATTAAACATCTGCCAGCTCCTTCCCTCTTTTCTGCTCCTCACTCTCACTGCCTGACTCAGACCTTCATTTCTCTTCTCAGACATTATTACAGAAATCTCCTCTGTCTCCCTTCGGCGAGTGCCATTCTCAAACAATGTATTCTCCATCTTAATTCTAAATTGTCTTTTGAAAACACATATGTGACAATAATATTCACTAGCTTAAAGCACTTTATAAGATAAGCTCCCAGCTCCTACTGGGCACACAAGCTTTTGTGATGTGGCCCAGCCTCTCTCTCCAGCCCTTTCCCCCGCCTTCACCCTGAGCCCACATCAGACAGGCTGGAGTTCCCTGACCATAGGACGCTGATCCTGCTGCTGAGTCACCACCGGTCCTCCCCTCTTCCTGACAGCACCCCTTCCTCTTACATTAAGGTTCGTTTTTTAATCAATAAATACTTCCTAACACTTAAAGGAGTAAAGTCTGTGCTAAGTTCACAGAGTGTGATGATGATCACACTCAATCCTTTCTTTCACACGGAAAGAGTGTCTTTGAGTCTCTTAAGGGAGAAATGAACTATGAAAATTCAGGTAAAACTGTCTAAAATTTAGCACTGTTACCCTTACTGGTTGGCTACTTTACAGAATTAGAGAAACTGAATATATCTTGTCATCAAGTCCAAAAGTACTTCAACTGGTTTCAATTCCAACAGTAAGCTATGACACAGTGGATTTACTCATTTTGACTCATACAGTTACGATGTGTTGGAAAAGATTGATGTGAACTATAAAAACAATGATCAGAAAGTTACTTCGATACAGTGTTATAAAGTTATAAGCCATTAATTTGTCACTATTTTGTAGAAAGTGAGTAACCAAGAGTTTCTGTGATTGTCTAGGGGTAATAACAGGCTAGGTTTATCTTACATGGTTAGGAAATAATGCAAAATATAGTTAACTCAAACAGCTTTAAACATCATGCTTTTCTAAATAATAGATTTTACATCATTTATTGAAGAAAGGCTTATCAATAAGCACAACAGACTGCTTACAAAGACAAGTAGATGATTCAACTCAAAGCCTTCTTTACTTTCCCAGTGGTGACCCGGTTCATTCAAAGTCCCAGACTTGCACAACCATCAGTCACATGAGAACAGAAGCCCTGCTCTGGGCGTTCATTTGTCATAGCGCTCACCTCCTTCTGGTGGACTTCCCAGTGGATTTCTGACCTTCCACACTGGCCTTCAGGGCCCTTGTGGGCAGGGTCCTGTCTCATTCATGACTGAGCAGAGCTCCAGGAAGAGCCTGGCAGAGGCGGGGCTGCCTGGACTCACTCAGCCCCAGTAGAGACGCTGTTCCCTTCTCTCCTGTCTCTGGGATAACACACGGTCCTTCCTAAGAGCTGCTACCCTGCTGCAATAAGTCCTATCAGTTTAAACACTTTAATTTCTCAGTTCCAACTGGTATGCACCTTCTTCAAAAACTTTTGTGTGGTTTTAGCACTAATTTACTAATGACGAATGACCCAAAATATTTTGATTCATAGAGTGGTGAACAATCACTATGTAAAATGACGTCTCTACCATACCATGCCAGTGAAAGTAATAACAAATCAGTGACTGAATTATGAGATTAATTTTCTCTTGGGCCTCTGTGGCAAAGCATGTGATTTAAATGGTTATCTAACATCAGCCTAGTGACCCTAGCTGGTATGTTGTACCAACCGGCAGGCGTTTTAGGAAACTGAAAACTTGAACTGTTATTTCCTATACCACCGCCGGTGGAGCAGTGCACCCATTTCACAGCTAAGTCTTATTTTAAATACGGCGAGAGCAAACCTCACTTCTCAAAAGCTCATTAACAAAGTCTTGCAGTTAAAAGAGCAGCCTGTGACTCATTTTTGGATACCCGTGTGGAAATAACAACTCCTCCCTTTGCTGAGAAACGGCTTAAACAAGTGCATGGGAACCACAGGAAGTAATACTGATCTCGCCGGTGTCAGTGGACTTACAATTCCGTCTCAGACAGTGGGGATCACAAAGATGCTGCCACCACTTCTTGTTTTCAGGCCTCTGAAAAAAAGTCTCATGTGGGCTTATAAGGAGCTGCTTCCAGGCTGTGTCAATTGCTCCACATTTCTTGGCTCCTTGCTCATACTGTGAAGTCAAGAAGTCACCATTCTGGTGGTATTGTTGAGAAAGTGACCTAATAGGAAGTGAAGAAGTGATCCAACCTTACTAAAGCCCCCCACTAAGTACAAAAACGAAAAACAAAACTCCAGAGTAGACTTAAAGTAGAACTAGTCTTAAGCGAATACTCAAGGGAAGCGTATGCACAGGTATCTGAAATAATTTCTAGAAGACCTAAACGCGCAGTCCCTCGCCCAATGGGAGAAATAAGCCCTCTCTGCTCTGTTTGAGAAACCCAAGGTTCCCAGAGGTGAAGAGTCGGTGTGAGCCCCGGGTCACACCCGAAATCCCCCCTAGGACACCCCTCGAGGGCCCAAGCCAGCCAGTCCCCAATCCCCGGGGGAGCCCCATCCCGCAGCTCTCTGCGCACAGGTTGGAGGGGCGCGTCCTTGCTCCAGGAGAAGTTAAGGAAAGAAAAAGAGAAAAACGAACCAGGAACCCGCAGGAGCGGGCGAACCCAGACGCCCTGTCCTGCGAGGGCGCTCGTCCCTCGCCCCTCGCCGGGCGCTGTCAGAGTCCGGAAACCTGTGGTGCGTCCCCGCACGCTTCTGGCTGCTCCTCCCGCGCCACCGGACCTCCACACCGCCGCCGTCGCAGCATCTGGGCGCTGCCGCAGCGCTCACAGCTGGGGACCAGGCCCCGCCCCCGGAGGACTGCACTGGGTCCCTGCGCCTGTCCCCGCCCCGTGTGAGTAGGTGCGCTCCAGACCCTGGGGAGCAGCCTCCTCCCCTCCCCTGCCCGCGCCTTCCCTCCAGATGCTGTGCCGCCCCCCCCCCCCAGGGGTAGACAGGACTTTCCCGGGGAATCCCCGCGCCGCTGGTGACGTTGGCCCGTCGGTGGATTTCCCGGCGCGGACACTTGCTGCTGGGTCGCAGCGTGGGTGTGACCGCTGGAGGCTGCGGCCGCCCTGCACCTGCCGCGACTTCTGAGCTGGCCGGAAGCCTGCGCGTCACAGCTCGGAGGCTGGACGGCGATCTTGGTCTTCCCAGAAGCCGCCCGAACACATCCCTCCGAGCGGGCCTGCCACCCGGCGGGTTCATTCATTCATTTGCTACCCATTGAGCGTCCAATCCGCCACTGAGGCTACAACTGTCTCAAAAAATACCGCAAGACTCAGCCCTCAAGGACCAGGCATTCCAATGGGGAAGGGTGAACAGATAAGTGTATATGACTTGAGGTATTCTATGTGGAAAGCACCTTGAAAAATAAGGTTGAAGAGTTCTAAGTGCTCAAAGAAGAAACGAGCCCACACTGATGCAAGGAAATGCAGGAGCTCCCAATGGCCACAGGCTGGGACAGTCTGAGCTACAAAAGGAAGTAGTAATGGATTACAACACAAAGTAAACAAAGACATCCAAGAATCCACAATGATATAAATAAATGGTTGAAAAAATAAATAAATGGTGGAGAAGGGATAAATCACCCGTGCAGAAGAATTCCTATATGATTTGCTCACAATGACTTTTTCCCCAAAAGCATGGAATGGAGAAAAGGAAGTAACTCTACGCTGGAGAGACCCGAAAACCACTACCTCAAGCCAGGCGATCAAGGTCAACATTAACAGTCATGTTTATATTAATCACTGTACTTTTGATATGACGAGATGAAAATGTCACTTTTTCCTCTGTGGTCTTCCTCCCCAAAACCCACAACCCTGGCCTTACCATAAGAGAAACATCAGACAAATTCCAATGATGGGGCATTCTACAAAACACCAACAATTCCTCAGAGCTGTCAACATCATCCAAAACAAGGCAAATCTGAAAAATTGCCACAGCCTAGAGGAGCCTAAGGAAACACAACTACATGTAATGTGGTTTCCTAGGGAGGGGACAGAGGACATTAGATAAAAACTAAGGAAAACTAGATAAAGAGTGGACTTCTGTTAATATTAAAGTGTCAAGATTGGGTCCTTAGTAGTGACGATGTACCACACTAATATGAGATTGTAATGATGGGGGAACTGGGAACGAGGTTCATGCAAGCAGGGCCATCCAACCTTTTGGCAGCTCTGGGCCACATTGGAAGAAGAGCTTTCGTGGGCCATGCATTAAATACACTGCAACACGGAATCACTAAAAAATGTCACAATGTTTTAAGTAAATTTATGATTTTGTGCTGGGCCACCTTCACAGCCATCCTGGACAACATGAAGACTGTGGGTCTCATGTTGGGCACCTGAGCTTCTCAATTTGTATGTAAATCTAAAATTATTCCCCCAAAATGTAAGTTTATTTAAAAATAAAGCCAAATAGAAAAAATGAGGGGTTAGAATATATACCAAGTCTCCCAAGATAACAAAGCAGTCAGGGGAGGAAACAACGATATTTAGGTTAAGACCATTTTAAGCTGAGGGATCTGTAAAGGTAAAGGCCTCGTGGCAGGTGTAAATCTTGGGGTAATATCAGTGTGTGTGGAACAGGATGAGAAGGGACGGAATGACAGGGGGTGAGGTGAGGAGTAGGGAATGAAACATGTAGGGCCTTGGTGGTCATAATGGTTTTTAAATCTTACTTTGCTTGCGAAGGGAAGCTACTAAAGAATTTTTAGCAGAGGAGACCTATGATGTGCTTTTTCCCCCTACTGTTGTGTTAAGTATAGATTAGGGGACAAAGATGTGAGCAAGCCAATTGGTTAGGAGGCTGTGATGGTTAATTGTATGAGTCAACTTGACTGGGCTACAGGACTCCCAGATTGTTAAACATGATTCTGGGTGTGTCTGTGAAGGTGTTCCTGGATGAGAACACTTTTGAATTGGTAGACTGAGTAAATCAGATTGTCCTTCCCAATGTGGGAGGGACTCACTATCTATTGAAAGCCTAAATAGAATAAAGAGCAAGATAAGGGAGAATCTCTTCTCTCTTGGCTTGACTGTCTTTAACCTGGGACATCAGTTTTCTCCTGCCTTCGACTGGCCTTCAAACCAGAACTTATACCATTTGCTCTCATGTTTCTTGGGCCTTCAAACTCAGACTGGGATTAGATCACCAACTTTTCTGGGGCTAAAGTTTGCAACTGCAGATCATGGGACTTCTCGGCCTCCACAGTTGAGCCAGTTCCTTATTCATGCTTTCTCTCTCTCTCTCTTTTCAGTTTCTCCCTCCCTCCCTCCCTCCCTCCCTCCCTCCCTCCCTCCCTCCCTCCCTCCCTCCCTCCCTCCACAGGTGGCTAAGACTGGCATAGAAGAAATGGAGGGAACCTGGCCTCTAGGTGCAGAGGTTCTTAAACTGATGAAAGAACAGAAAATAATCTTGAGGGAAAAAGTGAGTCACTGGTCACCACTAGGCTCCTACTCATGATCCCTTTACTATCCTCAAGTCCAGATCCAAGTCACAGGCTACTCGAGAACCACCTCTGAGTGTGGGAGGCTTCCAAAGTAAGCCAATCTAAACACTGGTGTTCTTCCTCTAGCATTTCATTTTCATTCTGATTTGTGGGAAAATTCAATAAATCCATTAACCCATGAAAAACTATAAGTAAGCTTAGAAAAAATTACTTAAAAAACAATGCAACAGATAATTCATAGAAAAGCAAATTTCTTGTTGTTCTGGAAGCTTATTTTTCTGTGCCTGATACACAAGGAGGGTAGAAATCGAGTGGTTGGAAGTTGTACAATTTTGATTTGATTAAATGCTTCCCCTGCCTGTAATTCCTTAAAGGATACTGTCATATTCTTATATTAACCCAAATTGCAATTAAGTGAAAACTTTCTTCTTATATATTGGCATACTTGTAAGAGCCCTGAAGTTTATTTAGCATGCACTGCCTATTGTATGCTTACAAATAGAATGAAAAAGATGATGGGCTTTAAAAATCTGGTTTAGAGGCAGAACTGATCCACTTAGTAGCTCTTAAGGGAAACCAATCTTTCTGCAACTGCTATTATGCATGACAAGTTGCAAAAGTATTTTAAGATGAGACTGTTACTCAATACTCATTGCTGGTAAAAACCCCTTTTGCACCATGGCCCTCTCCTGCGGAACTGATAAAAGTGAAAGAAAAGTAGAAGCAGAACATAACAAATAAGCCATGCCTTTTACAGATAATAGTTTAGTCATAAGCCTTTAAATATTGGTTTTGAATTTGAATAATTCACTGAGTTCTCAACAAGTGTAATTTTCACAAATAGGCTGAACAATTTTAATCTCCATTTTGTTCATTGACATGAATTTGTGCTGTTTAGAAAGTACATATTTCTACATCAGAAAGCCTTACTTTGGGGCTGAGATGTGGCATTCTTCTCTTTTTCCTCATCTTCCTCCATCTCATCCCCTTGCTGCAGCTCCTTATCTTTGTCCGTCTTCTGTTTCCTTTAACACACCCTTCGAATGGACTGACTCCTTCCTTCAGTACGGTTTACAACTTCTCTCGGTTCATGGACCACAGCCAGCATCCCTTCATGACCCTTAAGAAAATGTAAAAGTATATCAGAACCACAAAAACCAAACATCTTTCAAAATATGTTTCAAAGATAAACTTACTAAAAATAATAATGAAAACATTGAAATCTGAACAGTGAACTCACAAATTCAGTGGGCAAAATCTTTCCTTAAGAATACCTACCTGCCTTTGGAGTGATGATCTTGGGGAGACCTTGAAGA